TCGTTGAGTAATATTCATCAACTAAACAAGAAAGAACTAAACCATTGAATGCTGGCTAATTGATCAAGAGGTCAAAATCTTATTATAAAGCTAAAACGATATGGGTTCGATCTTCAAATTGTTCATAGATATGCATTGATGAAAAGTCCCATACTTTACCGAAACAGGTATTCCATGCTTCTTTATAATTATTCAATAATTTTATAGTTGAATTCATAAGTTAATTGAAGCTCGACCATCATGGAAAACCTGGAAGCACTGGACGGCCGTTTCGTCCTATTACGGGACTCTTCATCGGTGCAGATCCACGCTTTTTTTCTTCACCATAACTAGGATATTTATTCAGTTATTCACAAACTAATTACAAATAAAACTTGTCATTTAAACATTTAATGAGTACAAGTTATCATAATTTTCTTTCAGTAACTAATTAGAGTATGATTGTTTGTTTATCATCATCATTTTTCACATAACTTTAAGTGATAATTAAACACGTTTATTTCTGCTTTGATATATTCAGATTTTGGCTACTATTATTATTTATGGCAAAAGATTCCTTGTGTTTGGGACTTGTCCCGTATCCCAATGTGGATGTTTACACTGGAACTCGAACTGAGTGTATATCATTCCACTATACCATTATATTGCACTCAAGTATTCATCAAATTTGTATCAGAATGATCCAATTAGGAAAAACATATAGCAACAAATAGTGATCAATTGTAGATTAAATATTAACAACAGGATGATATAAATCCCTACAAATATATGTTTAGTCTTAATTTGTAAATTATGAGAAGTGTTATGCAAAACTTTTCGTACATGATAATGCATATTAAGCTCTGGCAGTGAACTGTAGGATTTAGATCAACTGTCAGTATTAGAACACATATTTATGCTACTCCAATAACAGACTTAATCTAACATTGTGGGCTTGCCATGATGTGACTGCTGAATCTATATTGTCTTACGGTGAATTCATATCATTGTCCATACTGACTCGTTTTATTATGTCAGTCAGTAGTATTATTTGTAGAAACCTTTAAATAATTCATTAAGGCTAGTGACAGAATAGTATGGTGAATAATATAGAGGAATGATTTACAATAAACACACACTTTCATGATTGAATCATTCTGCGTCGATTATGCTCTCTGGTTGATCTTTGTTGACCTTCACAGCTTTTCACCAAGTATTTAACAGTCAGTAGTAACCTTTTAAGTTTAACCTTTCTATATTGAAGATATAGAATCCTTCGTTTTAACATGTAACAAGTAAATAATATGAAGTTACTAAGTTTATCGTTGGTTTTTTTTATATACACTCCAATTATCCTCAGTATCTTTCCCTAATTATCAAACCATCATTGATTCTACTCTTCAATGAAGCGAAAACTCTTCAAAAGTTAATTAATCTAATGAGATACAGCTTTGTTTTTTTTATCAATCATGGAGGAAAACCCGATTGTTTGAACGTAGATTAAGCGGAAAAACTATGTAGTTCAGATTACACACCTATAGATGACTATTCACAAACTAGAATAATGATGAACGGGTATTCATAATCTTTTTCAAAGGTTAGGTTACTGGTGGAAATTGATTGTTTATTTTTTTTATCTCTAATGTTGTAACTCTCTCTCTATTTAGTTGATGTGAGATTAAAAAACACTTATGATTGTGGTAAGAAATGAAAAAAAATTAGACGAAGAAACTGAAGGGGGGGGGGTAGAGGTGATAGAATGAATCTATTAAAAAGATATGAATATACATTACTCTTTGAAATAAAAATCTCACCATATCACAAAACCGTCATGAAACTTGATGAATAAAGAAAAAAATCCATTTTACAGGTGTAACATCACATTTAGAGTAATATTATCCATGTTCATATGTACCTATGTGAAACACAAAGTGATAAAAAACAAAAGAGGGGAGAGGTTCTTCAGTGTACATTCAAGGTTGTGTGCAGGCGTATGCATGTATATGTGTGTGTGAGAGTGAGAGAGAGAGAGAGGGAGAAAGAGAAGAGTGCTATGGATCACACTATATCATTTCCCAATGAATGAATAACCTTAATGTTGAAGTGTTAATTTGTTATAATGGAATAAAACTGAAACTAAAAATTTTCACGGAAAAAAATTATCATTTATTTTAATGGATCAATGAATTTTTATTATCATCATTAATATTCTTCTAAATATTATTAGATTTATGGGGGGGAGGGGAGGGGATAAAGTTTTTTTTTATGGAACATGTTTGTTAGATTCTTGTTAACTATCTGATATGAAACCAACTTATCTACCTTGTCTAATGTACTTATCTGACTATCAGTTTTTTATATTGACATTTATTTTTTAAGAAAAAAAAACCCAGATAAAACAAAGTTAATGAAACGTAAAAATAAAAAAAATTTAGTGGATTTTCCAAACCAAAAAAAATTTCCCCCCAAAAAAATAAGATGTCATGAATGATAGATTTACATGAATGAAGATAGATAGATAGATAGATAGATAGAAATGATCTAATAATTTACTAGGGAACATTGATTAAAATATATACAACCTATTGTGGGACTCCTCAGCAACGCGCATCCACTATCCCGTTGAATGCCGGCTCAGTGGTCTAGTGGTTAAGCGCTCGTGCGTGAGACTGATAGGTGCTGGGTTCGAATCTTGTCGGGCGGGATCGTGGATGCGCACTACTGAGGAGTCACACAATAGGAAGAGATGGTAGTCCAGTGCTACTAGGCTTTCAATGGTGACCTAGCTTAGATGTACTCATGAGTCCAACTATTAAAATTACTACAATCTCCACAGACTCAATTCGGATAATGAGTTGCAAGTTTCTCAGTTAGTTTGTTATTGTAGTCAGAATTATGTCTGTTGAAGGTTATTTTTAAATAAAAGTTTCTTTTCCTTAATCGTAAATGTTATTGATTAGAAAAGTGTATAAATTCTAGGAGCAAATAGTAAGTTAACTGAGTTATGGGTTCTAAAAAAACGTCATTAGAAAAGTACATGTCTTCATGATGTTAACAAATTTATATTGAGGTTTCTTTTTACATAATTCAATCTCATGACTATGATGTATATAAACTTCTACTTGTAATTTATATTCTTATTTAAAAAGTTTTCAATTATTTGTGTTTATTGACACCTAGTTTATAATCACCCGAACAATTCGGTGTCAGCGTCTCAATAGGTGAAGCTAGTTGAGGGCTGTCCAAATAACATAAGTAGTGTGAATTCCCTCAAAATAGTAAGTATGCTTTATAGACATGTTCCAGATAGTACGAATCCTAGGTCATGAACTTCCTAACATTTCATAATAGTGCATGCAAAGGCAATATCACACAGAATGTTGATTACACAACAACTTAATAAAATTTGATCAAAATTAAGAGTCTGGTCAAACATTACATTAGTCCTTGATTGATGATCCAACGGTTTTAGTTATCTTGTTCATATAACAACTTGTTAATTCATTTGTTCATTATTTCTTGTAAGAAAATGATTTTCTTTCAGACCTGTAATGATATTGTCAAGACTTTATCAAGAACCTTACTGATCATTATTCAGATTACTGAAATGTTTTACCACTTTTTAACTATCAACTGATAACCATGAAGGAAATTGTTTTATTAGTTCCACTGAATGAATAAGTTGAGATGTTGATCAAAGAGTATACATTTTACTGAGTTCTGTCTGGGAATTACAAATATGTATCCAAAACCTAGATATAAAATTATTTGCAATCAAATTTCAGTAGTGATTAATTCAACCTATAAACGTAATTCATCACACATTGACATCAATAGAAATATCACAAAAACCAATGTTTATTAGCTGTTTTGACTGAATATGGAACGCTTCTGCAGTGTATATCCATTGAGGCGATATACTCATGGAGCATAGTATATGATGATCGATGAAGAAACATCGCGAATTAATTGAAATGAAAATTATGAACCAATAGATTGAAATGTCCCATTCTTAAGGTTAGGCATCTATTTGCAGACTTGAAGTTACTTTGTTCAACCTATGAAGTTTTCAGAAATGTAAACTGTCGAAAATTCATACATTAAATAGAACTAGACTAATCATTCACTTTACATTTATTATCAGTGAAATTTCACATTCATATATGAAATATTCATGGAGTTGGTTACCATGCCAAGAATCATGTTTCATACATTAATATCTTTTTTTTTTAAAGATTGCGATATCCCGAAGTATTGTTGAAGAAATTCATGTCCCCCTAAGATAGATTTTAGTAAAACATGAATAACCTTCATTGTAGGATGATATCTATCACATTTGAACCCAGTTGCCCCCCCCCCACCAATGGCTATATTATCAACTTGGTAAAATAAGATATTGTTATATTGAAGTTACATATCATTTTGTGTAGATTGGTAAAATGCACTTGAATTCCACCTTTAAGTAGGGGAAGAACATAAGTGTATTGATGTTAAATTTGTATGGTTTTTCTTGGGGTGAATTGTGGTCAATAATGATGTATCAAAAGAAACCGTTTAATTATCAGAGATTTCTCTTTCCAGAATATATACGACTAAATATTAAAAAATTTAATAGTTTAATTCAGGGATCGAGTTAATCTAGATCCTCATTGAGAATCTGAAAGCATTGGACGGTCGTTTTATCTTAATATGGGACTCTTCTATAGTGCACATCCATGATCTGCATGCGGAACTCGAAGCCATGACATGAAATCTCGTGCACGAACACTCAATCTCGAAAACCTTTGAGTCAGCTTCAAACGGTGTTAATGTATAACGTCAATCGATTCATGATTTTGAGCAACCCATCAAGTGCTTCCAGGTTTCCAGTAGTAGTCTAACTTACTACAATCTCTACAAACCCTTATTCTAATAAATTGAAAACTATCATCCTAACTGTGAACAGACTATTTTTCAGTGAGAATTGAACCAACCATTTTCTTTTTAGTATAAATATATTCTAAACTTTTTTTTCTTATTAGACACATGATTATGGTACTAGACATAATTCTTGGGAATGTTCTGATTTAAAAAATGATTTAACACAAAATGAAGAACTTGGTGAACGACAACAGTATCAACAAGAACTATTCAATATTCCATTTCTTTCTTCTCAAAGTAAATCATTTCAAAATTTAGGATATACTGGAAGAAATTTCTTAAATGATTTAAATTCATCTGATATACAATATTCAACTAGAGAAATGAAAGAGGTAGGTAAAACTGAACATGACAATATAGAAGTATTTTCATCAGATAGATTAACACATAGTTTAAATTATTCAACACTCACTTCATTATATCATCATCCTCATGATCATCAAGATCTTCACTCACACCCCCACCACCACCACCACCAACAACAACAACAACAACAGTATTCTAATCATTTAAATTATCCTTCTAATTATCAAAAAACCAATTATCATCTTTATCATCAACCAAATAATGATCCAATATTACATTCATCATTACCTATGGATCATCATGAATCATCTATTTATTTTAAACAATCAAAAGAAATGAATAATACCACAGAAACTACAGTATCCAATTATTCAGAACAAGAAATAATAGAAACTAACTTATTGTCAAAATTAAACATACCTACATCATTAGATCATCTATCCGCTTCATCTAAATCAGCAACAACAACATTGTCGTCATCATTTTCATCATCCTCATCAACATGTGTACCGATAGAGTTACATGTTGGAGAACTGAATGAAGTTCATTCAAATCATTGTGGTAATCTAAGTACAGATTTTAATTTGATCAATAAAAATGAAAATGGTTTCACAGAATTTTCAAATTATACTCCATATTTAAATAAATTATTTTCATCGAAAGTATTATTTAATCATATACAACAACAACAATCATTAAGTCAACAACATACTACTGATAATACTATAATGAGTAATAATAGTAGTAGTATATCTAGTACGACAAATATTATTAGTAATAATATATATACTGATAAGAAACATTATGATTCAAATGCATTATTGTCAACAACTATTTCATTCTTTCCTACTAATACTACTTATACTACTGGTACATGTAGTAGTATCAATGAGAATAATTTAAATAATCATAGAAATCATAATGATATAGTAAATATGGATTATGAAAAATTTCAACCAAATGATTATAAACTATTGTCTGAAAAAGGTTTAATAAAAACAAAGGAACATTTCACCGCCTGCTGCTCCTCTTCCTCCTCCTCCTCATCATCATCATCATCCTCATCATTATCATCGACTGTGAAGTCTCGTGATATAAAATATTCTAATTCACAAATATTAAATGATAAAATACAATCATCACCATCATCTCCATCTTCTCCAATAAATCGTCAACGAATAAATGAAATCAATAATCCAAATGTAATAGTAACATCCAATAATTCATTGTATCGTTGTATACCTTCCGTTCATCCTCCAAAGTTAAATGTTTATTCACAAGTTATAAATTCAACTCATTCAAAACAATCAACATATCCAAGAATACCTACAAATGATTTGTCAACAGACCACCTTCATTTTCATACACGAAACAATGGTAATAAAATTGGTAACAATAATAATAATAATAATTCATATCTATTCAATGAGAATTTACCACATCATCATCAACTTTTATCCAGATCAACTCAACATTCTGCTAATACTCATTTACAACATTCAGTTTACTTAAATAATGGACATTTAAGAAATTTCAATCAAACTAATGGTCCAAGTATTGGACATACGAATCATCATGGGTAAGAGAAAAATAAACTTGTTATATGCGTTTAATACTGATCACAGCATTGATTACATGTTAATGTAGTTAAGATACTATTTTCTACAAAAAGATCTGAATCTTAGAATTGCTTCGATTAATGGAGTTGTATTATTCAGAGGTTAAATACAGTGTGTATTAGGTAAGCAGGACAAATCGGTTGCAAATTATATTAATTGAAATGATCGGGATATAGTATTTTCGTACAACTAACCACCATTTGGTGTGATGTGTGATGCTTGCTGGTACATGAGTAGTTTGGACTGGATAATAAATAGATCAGCAGTTTGAAATGAATTAAACTACATACAATTCACATAGTTATAAACTAGTCTTATCTCATTTGGTAGTAAACTTGAAAGATATCAGTCTAAGAAATGGCATATCTTTTATCAATATTTATTCAAACATATAAACACTGACCTTAGGAGGCACCATATCATATACGCCACACTTCGTCATTCGATTTGTGTAAAGGCTGGAATACTGCCTGGGTGCCTGAAACGAAGAGAGGTTGGTTTTCTTAGGAGGTCACTCCCCGAACATTTGGCCTAGAGGTCCAATCCAAAAGACAGTGAGGTGAATTAAGTAGATGAAGTCCTATGGTAGCTGGTGACCAACGATTGGTTCATACGCTATTTAATCCTTCAAGATCCTAGAGCCGATGTGCACCATTGGTTTAGAATCAGGGTTTTGCAACTCCTCCATATCAACTAACCAGGTTAAAAAGCCAAATTTTCAATTTTCGTCCTCTAAATTTTGTAAACAACTACTCCACCACGAAAAGGCAGAGAGTGGAACTTCCCTGAAAGAGGCTGTATACGCGTGGCCATATGACAACATTTGAAGAAGGAGAGCTGACTCTTCTCACTGTTAACCTTACCAGGGTATATTGGCATTTGTTTATCAAAACTAATGTGTTTCAGTCAAAAAAAATAACATTATAAATTCATTTCAGTAATATATATCAAATTTATTAAAATAAAATATCACTTTATATAATTTTAATTAGATTTACTTATGGTCTTGATGGTACACGACGAAAAAATGCAACTAGAGAGAGTACAACAACATTAAAAGTTTGGTTACAAGAACATATGAAAAATCCATATCCTACTAAAGGAGAAAAAATAATGCTTGCTATTATTACAAAAATGACATTAACTCAAGTAAGTTAACTTGAATGAACTTTCTATACATAAGTGAAATAATCATTGTGTTTATAAGCAAAGATGGATAGTGACTGGTAGTGTAATCTAGTTTGATGCACATTTCATCTTATTTGGGACTCGTCAGCTGGATGTAGAAAGAGATTAAAGTAATCTAATAGTTCAATTAGTCTTAGGAAGAAATGATCGTACAATGATTCCAGATTTTCCATACAGGTTCAGTTTCAATTGACTCATGAATTCAACTATTGAATACTTTAGTGTTTTTTGTTCAAATCAATCATTCATTATCATTAGATGTCAATTAGACGTCAAACTAATTTATAGTTTCTACAAGAAAAAGTTATTCATTAATTGAGATTTCGATTTATACACAAAGAAAGTTTATGATATTTTAGCGGGGAACTTTACTTTGATGTCGATTAGATCAGACAATGTTATTGATGGGCTCATGAATTTAGTGACCCAATATCTTATTCCAATTGGATTATATGAATGTTATGGAAATATGCATTCCATCAAATCCAATGATAAAATTATCGACTTAACTCGCGTTAGTGAATAACGGAATTAAATAAGCCAAATAGATTTTTGAATACGTACATTTTGTACACTCGTTGATCTGGATAGATAATCAAAGGAACAAAGCTAAGAAAGCGAAGAGAAAGAAGTGAAGCGAAATGATACGTGGTAGAGATGGTATGTGAGCTGATTCAATTTAATCAAACGTTAATCGGTCTTTATAATCACACAAAAATAAGTTAGACATGTGTTGAAGTAAGTTAGAAAATGCACACATATACGCTTACATAAAAACAGTCAGGGTTGACAAGTAAATAATTAACAAAATCAAAATATAGCTTGGGAACCATGGATAAATTGATTCGTCTAGAAGCCAAAATGACTGATAAGGGCTCGACATAGTAGCAGCCACTACAACTTCATATCTGTTTAATAATTTTATGAATATCTGAACTCGATAACTCAGAGCATAATAATTTATCACTAAATGTACAAGTTAATGGACTTAAATCGCTCTTTGATCAATAACATTAAGATTCAAGTATATCTAACTGACGAGTTCATTTATTAAACTACTAACCACAACTATTATTATATTCACTTTGTGTTGTATACTTGTTCCTTATCATTGTTAGTTAGGACTGCAATTGATCAGTCTCTTGTTGGCATGTGTGCAATATCGAGGCGATCCGTAGAGGATGCACATACGCCAAGAAGAGACTGATCAATCGAAGTCCTAAATAACGATGAGAAGATTCAAACAAACAATACCAAATGAATTTAAACTTAACACCATTGCACAAGCAGGTAGCTATCAGGACTCAGTGGTCAAGTGGCGTTCGAAGTGAACACTACTGGATTCGAGTCCCAGAGTGAACTTCAACTCTGAGATACAGGTACATCCTGCTGACGAGTCCTAAATAAGAAGAAATGCGCGTCCTGGATTCCATCGGTAGTCACTATCCACAAGTATTATTAGTTTATAATTTTTCTATCTGATAAACTATTCCCTATAATTGAAATCATGAGTCAATTGAAGCTAGACCACCATGAAAAACCTGTAAGTCCTATTGTGGGACTCTTCAGCGATGCATATCTACGATCCCGCCTCACGAGATTTGAATCCAGGATCTGCCAGTCTCGCGCCAGATCACTTGACCGATAGACCACTGAATCTCGAATCTTTCGAGGCGGGACCGTGGATGCACACTGTTGAGGAGTCCCATAATAAGACGAAACGGCCGTCCAGTGTTTCCAGGTTGTCCATGGTGGTTTAGCTCACAATATCAATTATATGAAATTACTAAAATCTCCACAAAACCCCTTCTGATATCCTTCTATAAATTACAATTCTTTATTTAATCTGTATTCATACTAAAAGACCTTAGTACATACTTATCTGTAGAATGATATACATATATATATATATATATGATGTTTATTAATTAATTATCAGGTTTCAACATGGTTTGCAAATGCTAGAAGACGATTAAAAAAAGAGAATAAAATGAGTTGGCCACCAAAATCAATTGGAAGTATTAGTAGTATAGAACAGAAAAGTCCAACAAATTTAAATTTTGCACAAAATTCAAATACAAATCATGTAAATAATGAAAAATCTATTGAACATTTAATGAAATCCGCTAAAAATCTTCAAAATAATAAAGATTTAAGTAATCGATCAAACGAAGATGAAACCATTTTAGAAGGTGATGACGATGATGATGATGAACAGATGGTTGGGGATGAAACCGATGATGATGATGATGATAACGAAGATCATAATGCTGAGGATGATGACAACAGCGACGATGATAATGATGATGATGATAATGAACAAAATGATAATGGTGAATTTGATGAAGATTATTTCAATTCATCAAATAATAACTTTCAAACAATTCCATCATTTTTATTGCATTCAAATCAAGATCCTTTAATTTGTCAACAATCCAATCATCATTTTAATTTGACTACACTTTCAAATGAAAGAAATTCTGAAAAATATAATCAAATATTTCATTATACTACTACAAATACTACTTATGTTACATCTTCACAAACATTTCCACATTATACTAATTTATCCAATATTCAATATACTACTAATAATAGTAATCAAAATGGATTACATAATTCACGTACAATGAATGAATATTTCTTGAATAAAACTGATCATCTACTTACTACTAATGATAATACTACTCATAATATTAATAGTAGTACTAATCATACTACTATTGAAACGAATATACTATCTAAATTACAATCTCAATCAAAATCTATTTATGTTTCAAATGAAAGTAATTGTTTAGAACAGAATTCTTTACATTCAATAATGAAATATCATGATCCAATTCATTCCTCATCAAATTCATCATATTTGTCTAATGTTGTACATTCATCTACATATTTTCCTCCTCCTCCTCCTCCTCCTCCTCCTCATTCTTCTTCTACTTCTACTTCTATACCAATGGATTATCAACATTCAAATATTCTATTGTCATCGTCATCAACATCACCATCCAATTCATTTATTCATAATGAACATATACCATTCACTCAATCTTTAATATTCAAGCATAATAAACAATCAATAATGAATACCGACATTATGTTTAATACAAAATGTCTTCAATCAAATTTTTGTTAATATTTACATCAATAATAGAAAAAAAACATCGGGGTGGGGGTGGAGGAAGGGAAACAAAAAAAAAACGGGAATTTAAAAAAGTCAACATTTTAGTGTAATAATATATCATACAGACTTCATATAAAGGTACATATATCTTGTCTTATTACATAATATATTGATTGTAGATGTCAATGAGAATGTAATATTATTCCTATTTGTATACGTATAGTATTATCCGGTATATATATATATATATATATATATATATATATCAAGTGTAAATTAAGTACAACTGTGAAGAAAATTTGTTCCTCAGGTGGATGATCTGGATAGAGTTTTGTTCGCTCAACTAGATGGTTTGGTTGTATAGCTTTCAATCATTCTTCTGAACAACATCATCAGTATAAACTTCAGATAGAAGTGAAGTTTGAAGTGTATATTGATAATATCGTTCAGAAGAAAGGTTGAAAGCTTCATGATCATACTATCCAGTTCAGTGAACAAAATTTTATCATAAGTACAAATATATTGGATCATTTGACAATCAGTATTGTTTTTTTTAAAATAGAGATTTGTGAATTCAATTATGTATACAATGTATAATGATTTCAACCTTCTTTGTATTTCTCTCTCTCTCTATATATATATATATATATGTGTGTGTGTGTTTATGTTGAATAGAAATAAGAAGTGGGAAATATCTTACATCATCAATATTTACCAGTGATTGTAACACTTTTATTATTATGATTATTATCTTAGATACAAATGAACTTACAATGAGAAATATATATAAATACATATGTATATTGTGTTGTTTCTATGTTCTCTTGTTTATTATTGATTTCATCATCATGTAGAAAAGGATTAATATAAGAGTAAAACAATACAGCTTCTAATATAATTTGACTTAGATAAGAAATTTTCATTGTTATCCAAAACAATAAGATTGGAACCTGGCTCAGTGGTTCTCGAATCGTTTGCCTAAGCGATGTAAGGTGATAAAAGGACATGAGAAGGGTTAGTCGTGGAGATAAGAGAGTTATTAGGAAGTGTTGGAAGGATTTCAATGTGACCACCTTGGTCTCATGTGCAGTTACAGGTATGAGGGCTAATATCACTTCCCGGTTGCCCACACCGTGGAAGGGTATTTCTTGAGTGACCTGAAAAAGAAGTTGGATTAGTGTTGGTCGGTCACACACAGCCTTTTTGTGGGGGATTTTTGACATGTTAGCTCCATTCTTCAAGAGACCTTACCACCGGAGACAGAAATCCGTGGGACGTGAGGCGTGCATTTTTAGGGTCGACCTTTTCTAACGTCACCCCTCCTTGTGGGAAGGCAGCATCGCTGTTATGCTAGTTGTCTGAGGGAAACACCTTACTACCATCACACCTTTGTGCAGTCAGCCGTAAGACTTCGCCTTCGGACCTTGGGATTGCTGCTTTTAGTCTTACCGCTGTTCAACCGACCTGTCTGGCATGGTAGGACCTCGAGGAACGATTGTTCCTGTCAGTATGGCTCGATTGGTTCATCACAATAGGCAAGCCCGACCACCACGTCAAGGTAGCAGCAACGGTCGAGGGCTCAGTGGTTTGAGAGGTTAAGCGCTCGTGCACGAGACTGATAAATCCTGGGTTCGAATCTTGATAGGCGGGATCGTATATGCGCGCTACTGAGGAGTCCTACAATAGGACGAAATAGCCGTTGAGGGCTTCTAGGTTTTCCATGGTAGTCTAGCTTCAATTGTCTCATGATCTCAACTATTGAAAATAAGGTTAGAGTTTATTTCTTGTAAAAGTGAAAAGTGGTCATTTAATGAGATTCATCCTGTTATTTTTATTCGTGATTAGTTATACTTGTAGATTATGTTGTTTTATGATCAAGATAGTTGAAAATAAATAAGAAGGTTGGAACGAACCTGTTTATGTTAGTGGAATAAAGTTTAGTGACCTGATGTCTGACTCTAATTGGATCGTATGAATGTTACTGAAATATCCTCCTATATAATTATTGTCATAATCCACGTTAATGGGTAAGGAAATTGAATAAGTCAAATACGAGAATGAAGTTTGAATATGTATATTTCATACATTCATTGATTTGAATAGGCAATTAAGGAGACAAAACAAAGAGAGAAGAACATACCAGATCGAAGATGGCAAGCGAGTCAACTCAATTTAGTAAAACGTGAATCGATATTTAAAGTCGAACAAAAAATAGGTTATGGATATTTGATGAGTACGATAGGCAATGCATGCACATACACTTACAATAAAACTAGTCAAGTTCGACAAGTGAATAATTGACCAGGTTAAAATATGATTCAAGAAAAATGGACAAACTGACCTATCCAGAAACTAGAATAAGTTATTCGGTCTTAACATAATAACTGACGCTACAAAATAAAAGAATCACTTCTATACTAGATAGTCAGCAATGTTATTTATCAAAAGTAAAATGAAAGCATCTTCATCAAACTCTCTAACTCAAAGAATTCAACCATATTAAAACTATTCGATCATTTTAAGTCTAACTTATTATAAGTTTTTTTTTTGGAACTGTATCTTATTCTTAAAAAAAGATTAGTTTAATTTTTTAAAAAACGTTTGGGTACTGGTTTCAACTCTTAATCCTAAACATGTAAATCTTACGATTAGTAGGATTCCGTTAAAATGTTAATTAGCAATCCACTGGTGTATACTTTTAAATTAGTAGGTCTGTAACAAAAAAAAAAAACTTTTTAATAAAATTAATCTGTCGAAATCATTCAATTAAACAGCTATAAACGTGTTATGACTAGCGACTAATTTTGAGACAGATTTATGGATTAGTAATACTAAATGCTTAGTGACACAGGAGGACTAATAGAGATATTACAGATGATACTTGACAGTAATCTCGCTATACTGAGGAGTGGTTGAGATTGAAAGTGATTGAGTAATTGAATTACAGCTGATTAATTTAAAAAATATCATATCTTACCATTGGTCTTGAAGAGATTTGATCCTGATGCAAATGTGTTACTCATTATGTAGAGTGGAATGGTCAATTATTTTATGCTTCTTGGAGTTTTACTCATATTCTAAAGCTGATTTTTATTACTGATAGAAGTACAATTATTTATTGAAAACTATTTTTATGAACAAGACATTTGTGGCTACTATATCTAATCGACCTACTTACTTACTTACTCCTGTTACCCCTCGTGGAGGAACATAAGCCGCACACCAGCATTCTTAATCCAACCCTGTCCTGGGCAATCCTTTCCAGTTCTTTCCCGTTGTTATTCATCCTTTCCATATTTGATTTTATTTCCTGGCATAATGTGATACCTATCTAATCGACTAGATACAATAAATATACAGTGGTAGCGGTATACTTTAAGATAATGATCTCAATGAATAAGTATTCACCATGATATTAGAAGACATTTGGTATAAAGATGTGAACTTCTAAAGAGTCCCATATTAGGATGAGATAGATCAACAGTTCTCTTTGATTTTCATCATTGTCGCACTAAAATTACTCAGTGATATAAAGTATGAACTTCAACAATAATCACAAACTTCACATATTGATAATAGTTTGTAAGACTGAAATGATTACACCATTATTTCTTCTAGTCTGACTTGTTTAAATTGTAAATAAGAAGGTAACTGAAGCTGAGGATTCCAAGATATATACATACCCGAAATTATAATTAAATATGAGGGCGAGGATCGGCAAAGCAAGAGCAGCATATTTACAACTGAACAATATCTGGAACTCAAAACAACTGTTTGTCAATCAACACAAAGGTCAGAATTTTCAGTACAAATGTCAAGGCAGGTCTACTGTATGGGTCGGAGACGTGGAGAATTACGAAAGCCATCACCCAGAAGATACAAGTGTTTATTAACAGTTGCCTACACAAGATAATTCGGATCCTATGGCCAAATAGTATCAGCAACAAGTTGCTGTGGGAGACAACGAACCAGATTCCATCCAGAGGAGGAAGAAATCAGGAAGAAGCGCTGGAAGTTTATTGGGCACACTTTGAGGAAATCACCCAATTACGTGACAATGCAAGCCCTCACATAGAATCCTGAAGGCCAAAGGAAAAGAGGAAGATCAAATAACACATAACGCCAAGAAATAGAGACAGACATAAGAAGAATGAACAAAAACTGGATAGAACTAGAAAGGAAGGTCCAGGACAGAGTGGGTTGGAGAATGCTGGTCGGTGGCCTATGTTCCATTGGGAGTAACAGGCGTAAGTAAAGTAAAGTAACAATTAAAGATCTTAAATACAATGTTATAATGCTCATCATCGTAATAGAAAGCCAGTTTTGAATCTAATCAACATACCATTAACCATCATTACACTAATAACAGTATGATTAGTTAACAACAGTATCAAATATGAAATGACAGATTGTTTCTTCTTTCTCTTTGTTTTTTTTTTCAAATCTATGGTATTCAGCTTACATCTACCTAAACACAGCAGGATGATACAGACGAAGTAAACGAGGAATTAATGTCTGTGTATGAAGAAAAGTAGAAGAAATAATGAAGATATTTTTGCATCTATGTCTAATGAGAAGACAATGACTTTTGACAGTTAATAATTAGAGAAGATATAGAAAAGGAATCGGTAGTGAGAATCTATACAAAACTGTTGTTTTTTGAACAATTCATTAATGATGACAACTGTTAAGATTTTGTACTTGGTTATAGTTGAAGTAGACTTTTAGTTTGTTTGTTTTCTTTGAAGGGGAATGGTTTCGGTGTATTATATGTATACACACCAACCAACCTACTTACGTGCATACATACATACATATATACCTACATACCTACCTACCTACCTACATACATACATAAATACATACATACGTACATATATACCTATATTGTTAGTCTTAGTAATTCCATCACCGTTTGTTTTAGTATGGTAGATTAAAGTTTGTCAAACTGGAAACCAGTAGTGTGAGTAGTATTAGTAGTATTAGTAGCAGTAGTAGTAGTAGTAGTGTTAGTTACCAGAATAGTTTTT